ACACACACACACACACACACACACACACAAATATTATTGCCCAATATCACGAAAATCAAGCGCGTTCAATGGGGCAACAATCATCTTTTTTTTCTTCTTTGTCTTTGTACTACCTGATTTTGGGCCAAACTACCTGAAAATGACCCTGAATCTACCTGAAAATGACCCTGAATCTACCTGAAAATGACCCTGAATCTACCTGAAAATAACCCTGCATCTACCTGAAATGGAAATTTTGAGGTAGGCAGCCCTGTATAGAGAGGTTGCTCAAATAGTAGAATAAATCTGGGATTTTCTTTTCTTTCGGTTTACTGCTGTTTTCAGATTTAAAAGTGTTTGGTTCAAGCGGACTTTACTGTATGTCTCTGTATGTATCCTTTAACTGCTTTCTTGTGTAATGATAGCTGATTTTTGCTTGGCCAATGCAACAACACAGTCTGTACCCATGAAACTCCATGACCATTAACTCGACGACATGAATTTGAATTTACTTGCCCTTTGAACCCCTGGAAATATGGGGTGCTTCTGATGCCTTCTTGTGACAAGAGTCATTTTGCTGGTAGACCTAGCCAAGCAGTGCAATCAAATATGTGGCGGGTTACTATTATGTAGGGGTCTCAGCCATAGTGGACAATTCAGTTCTGTCCCTGATTGGATTCCTTTACTGTGTCCTGTCAGTGGAAAGGGATGAGATCTCATTTGAAAGATTGTATGAGTTGATTTATGTGCCTAGAGATTTGTCTCATGGGAGTAGGCTCTATAAGAATGATTTACATTATTCTTATTATAATTATTCATTATTGTTATTGTTATTATTATTATTATGATTAATATTATTTATATTTCAATATCGCTTGAAATAACTTTTGAACCTAAAGTTATTAACCATTCAAAGTGGGTGGTTTGAGGCCACCACTGAAAGGATCTACTTATATTCTTTCCCCTCTGTTGTTTCTGCCTGTCTTACTCTTTCCCGGTGGGTGATGGGCGGGTGCTCTGGTGTGGTTGGCTCCTTCTTTCCTGTCAAACATCTATCATCCTTATCTCTCCTTTTTTTGTATTTTTTACTCTCTTGCAACACCTTCAGCACTTATGTTACCTAATTGTGTTGCAAGTGCTGTAGAACTCTTACTAAAAAACAAAACAAAAAAATACTAACTACTGGAGTACAAAAACCGGCCAGTAGAAAGTGTATTTGGATCAGTAGCAGCTGTGTTGAGTTCTGACATGTTGTTTGTCTACAGATCAATGAATGGGACAACCAGAACGTGATTCTCACCGGCAGCAGTGATGGCGTCGTCAGGGTATGTGTTACCTGGCCCTTGCATGTAGTTCCTCTTTGCTGGTCTTTTTGGGGGCCTTTTCACTCTATTTTTTATGGACAAATTGTGTGTGTGTTGTTGTTTTTTTTCGATATATAAGTCGGCAACATTGCTTGAGTAAGATCAAAACTAACAAAACCAGATGGTTCACTCGGTGTGGAGGTGTACTTTTGGATAAATTTTCATGACTCTGTGTTTTGTCATCCTGTGTCTGTCAGTCGTCATGCTTCTGCCTCCGCGTTGTATGCCAGTTGGTGGTTAGCGGGTGCTATAGTGTGGTTTTCTCCTTCTTTCTATAAAACATCTGTCATCCTTATCTTTCTTCCTTCTTTTTTGTTTGTTTGTTACTTTCTAGTAAAATGTCTAATCTCCAACACTTACATGACCTAATAGTGTTGTGGCAATAATCACTGTTTCCCTGTTCTTGTCTGTTACACAAACATAAAACTGTTATAAAGTTACACTGTTGCTTTTTCTTTGGTGCAGATGTGGAGTGTGGAGTACGTACAAGTTCCTAAAGAACAACCAATGAATACTCAAGAGGCTGCAGATGCTGCTAAGGGTACAGACGGAAAAGGAGAGATCTCGCCGACCTCTGCTGTGGCTCAGTCTATGACTGGACCCCGCAAACTGTCTCGGCACAGTTCCTGCGAGGGTTACAATGCAAGCGTCCGCAGATTGTCGCGCAGAGAGTCATGTGACAGCTACAGTGATGGTAAACCTGCTGCTGACATGCTCCGCGATTTCAAAGACCCAGATTACCTTGCAGCCATTGACTGCGAGATGGGTTCCTCGGGTGAACACGACAGTCCTCTCACCGCACGGCTGAGGGACGAGGATCGAGACTCGTGGAGGAACAGCACTGGAAGTAGCATCGGTGAAAGCTTCCGCTATAACGTCAGTGCCACAAGTAGCACAGGTGATCTTTACCGGACTTCCGGGTCAAGTACTTTGGTACGGGGCTCTAGCGTTCAGGAAGTTGTGGAAGCAGACAAGGCCAGCCTGCAGTCGGCCAGCGGTGTCTCTCTGGAGGTTGGGGCAGATGCGGCTCAAGAACTAGGAGCCGATGCTGGAAAACACTTGTCAGGGGAGAGCACCAGTGTCGCAGAAAGAGGCGATAACTCTTCTGTGCAAGAGGTGAGTCTTGTAGAAGTTACTGTCAATATAATTGTGAGCTAAAAGGATGGCTTTATTTGCTCCTAACACACTGAATTGAATTTTAGCACTGATAATTTGAGACTCTCCTTTTTAATATACAGTCGAACCTGCCCTGACGGCCACCTCTATAAGACGGCCACTTGTACAAACGGTCACTTTCCATTTCCCCCCTTGCGTTTTTTCTATATAATTTAACTGTGTAAAACGGGCACCTGTCCAACGCAGCCGCGGCCACAATAATTTAACACACAACCCCTATCACACTAAGCAATAATACCTGTCTAAGACAGTCACCTTAGTGACTCCATTACGTTTTGTCATAAATTGTGCATTGGCCCCTGGCGTTGTGGGCGAGCCGTCATAATTCAATCACCGGTAGTCCCTCCAACTGATCATGTTGCGTAGGCCCCTCCCACTGTTGACCAATAGCAACCAATTTTCAGCTGCTGGTGAGGTAAGCGTGTGATCCCTCATAACCCATAAGCCCCGCCCAGAACTCATACACATATCGTAAGTGAGATGAGTGGTTACTGTTTACCCAGTCTGTAACAAAGTAACAAAGGACGTCAACATGAACTTGTTACAAAAGCGTCCCTCGTTCTCCGAGTGGTGGCGACCCATGTGTTTGTTTTAACATGGCACTCAGTCTTCCTTGTCTGATACATTTCGTTTTATTGTCACCATTGTGCAAAATCAGCGACAAAATAAAAATTACAAACGAAATACAAACCAACAGCAACAACACCAACAAAGACAACAACAATGGGGCTACTTTCGATTGGGGCCTCAGATGGGAATGGTTTGTTTCCTTTATCTTGATCAGTCCTGCCTAAGACGGCCACCTGTCTTATACGGCCACTTTTCTCCTTGACAATGGGTAGCCGTCTTACACAGGTTTGACTGTATTTATTATGTTAAATTGGGAGGGTTTAACATTTTCTCTCCAAGTTTGTCTTATACACCTGGGATAATTTGATAACCACTAAGCACAATTGCTTATCAGAAACATACAGACAAAAGCCATTGAGGCCTATTTACTGTGTGTCAGAGTTTATGACTTCTGTTCTATAAACATAGATTAGTGAACTGTGCCTTATGGCCAAGACACTCATGCTTAGTTTTTTCTCAGTTCAATGTTTTGTCAGGGGGCCAAGTGGTCTGTCTGCCTAAACAGCTGCTTATTTTCTGTTCTGACAGACAAGTGTTCAGCTTCGATAAGAATGAGCAAAGATTCTAAGCCTTCTTATTTTTCTCCTTACAGTCTCAAAGCTCCGGTCAAGCCCAGGGACAATCTGGTGATGGTGATGTGACACGTAGCGAGTCCAACTTGTCCGACTTTGAGGTGATCAGTGAATCAGATGTGGCAGAGACTAAGAAACGTTCCAGCACAACCACTGAGGATCTGCTGAGGAAGTACAAACCTTTAGGCAAACACAGCCTTCGAGAAGGTGAAGAAAGATAGCTGATTTTTCTCTATACATCTGGTTCCTAAAAGTAGAATGATGGCTGGGTCAGGGCAGTATCTATCTAGATATACATGTGTGTGTGTGTGTGTTTTCATGTGTTCGTACGTGTGTGCGTGCATGCGTGTGTGTGTGTGAGTGAGTGAGAGACGCGGATGTGGAATCAGGTGCTCGTTATTTTTGGGGCATGTGGAGTTAATGGTATCAACTTGAAGCTTGTTCGTTTGACTTGCTTTTGACGAAAAATACCCATCTGTCTTGAGTAGATATTGAAATATTTGCTATTGAAGGAGGCGGGGTCACCTGGTTTAGAGGTAAAATTAGCTAACCAAAGCATAATGACTTTCATAGCCAGAGAGGCCATGAAAACTGAAAATTTACATTATTTTGTGCCTTATGTCAAAAGTTTTCTGTAAAATCCATGCTGAAATTTGTTATTAAATGGACATAAAGGTAGTGAGCCAAAAAAGCAAAAATTTGATCCAAATTGCAGGGTAAAAGGCTGAGTTTTTTTTGTTTTTAAAAAATTATTTTGACGAGTGCCTGATTTCACCAAGATGCCTCACATATATATTTGAGTATAACGGGTTATTTTGTCGTAATACCTGCCACTACAAGCCTGATTTACCCATTGGCAGAAAGGACACAATTGTATAGAGTATGTCAAGAAAATGATTGAATTTCTCCTTTGTAATGCATTTTTTTTTTTAATCGTAGAAATTGAAACATTTTATGAAATCTGCATTTTCATACTAACACTTGGTTCTTTTACTGCTTCATGTTGAATGTGGGCATTTGAAAAATAAATTTACACAGATAAATGAGGTTTTTTTTTTTTGCTTGTTTTTTCCAGGTTTCTGCTGGCAGAGACAATTAGTGTTCCGCAGCAAACTTACAATGCATACCGCATTTGAGCGCAAAGACAACAAGGAGCCTGCTGCTATCATGGCGATATCAATATCAAAGTGAGTAAGAAATGAATTTCAACCTGTGACGAATGACCCTTCCCACTTGTCCGGAATTATGTTCCAATTTTTTACCCCCTCCTGTGAATTTACTTGAAATTTGAACTGTGTATTATTTAGAAATGTTTAATATTGCTATATGTTGAGAATTTTGACAAAGATAAAGCATATTGAAAAACCCGACATAGTGGCAGAAACGTCAATGTGCCCTTTTATTTTCCTGTCTGTGCCAAGCCTTTTCTGAAGTGATGTTGTTTGGAGAGCATATGCTCTCCTACATTCCATCCTAGTCAAATATGAAGCCCATGGGGTGGTACCTTTTGAAATGCCGGAGGATTGTATTTGTTTCAATTCAGCATGAAGGAGATAAAGAATATAGTATTAAGTTAACATAGCGCTGAATGCTTTGAATTTTGTTCAAATTCAGCCAAGTTGCAGCAATCTTTGTTGAGCAATCCCGTCTCTTCACCCCAATGTTTTGCTTGGTCTTTTCAAGTACAAAAAAATCAAAAGTGCACAGTGATTAACTGTAGGTGGCTGTTGGTATGTGCTCTGGTGTGGTCAGCTCCTTTTACTTCTTTTACAGGAATCTTATTACCTACGCCGTTTCTTGTAAAGTGTGACAGTTATTGTACTGTCTTTCTAGACTATCTCTTAATAAGAACAACCAAGTGATTGATCTTTCAGCCAATTGTCATTTCTATACTTTTTTCCTCTGTTTGATGCCACTTACAGAGACCACAAGACTGTATATGTGGGAGATGTCAAAGGTCGCATCTGGTCATGGACAGTGACCAGTCAGCCTGGCCGTGCTGTTGCTGACCACTGGCTCAAGGATGACGGGGCAGAATCCTGCCCAACATGCGGTGTCCGGTTTTCTTTTGCCGAACGGCGACACCACTGTCGGAACTGCGGCAATGTCTTCTGCTCCAGGTAAGTCGCTACTCTGTTTGCTCTCTGGCAGAAAGTGTGTAAACTGCTGTGACTTGGTTTCTTGGCAATGTCTTAGCAACGCTATTTTATTAAGTTGTTTGTCAGTTGCCGTCCATCACAATTCCAGAGAAATTGTTATGATTTTTTCCCATATTTTCCCTTGGGTATAATGTAACACTTAGGCTCGTGCTGCTTACACTTGTGTCTTTGTTTCCCCGAATTGGAGAGGGGGTTGTACTTTGTGCAGCTACAGGCTTTTTTTTTTAATGCATGGAATTTTCAATATTAGGTTCCTTTGAGGATTTGTTTTTGCCCAGTTATGTGTACTTATTCAGTGGAGTTGGGAATTTCCCATTGTTGTTGTGGTTTTGGGTAACTTTTGCTTTTCTTTTCAGACATTGCAATTGTTTGGATAAGAAATAACTTTTTCTTCCTCTTAGAATGGTAGGTCTGGTTTTCTTGAAGTATGCGTGTGCAACTTAAAATGTTACCAACTATTTTGTGAGATCCTGGTGCTTAGCATGAATTGGGATAAAAAGCCATGTTTGATCTTGAAAACTGTGGTTTGAAATTTTTGTAAATGTCTAGAAATGTTTACCTCCTCTGGGCTCCTGACTCTTTCTGCAGCCTTTCTGCTACTACTCCTTGGCTCCATCTTACTGCTGTCTTTCAGCCAAACCCCTGCTCTTCTGGTAGGAAAGATCTACACCTAGCCTTCTCGGACAAGGGCGTAAAGTCTCGGAGGGCCCGTGTGCAAGTTGCACATGTTAAAGATCCCTTGGTGGTCTAAAATCGATAAGAATAGGCTTCAGCCGCTACCCCGGGCAAAATTCAAAATTTCCTACGAGCTGTAAAAGTTTAATATGTCCCCCGCACTCATATGACATCATGCAGTGTGAGCGCCGTAAATCACTTACCGAAAAACATACATTTTTAATTAAAGCAGCACAGTTATTCGTAACAGCTTCAAAGGAATGCACTGTCAGCTAAAAATTCTGATATAAGGCCTCCTGGCCGTCCCACTGTTTAAAGAGGACATAAAAACATTTGTTCTTATGTATAAGCATTTTTTTTTCAACAGATGCAGCAGTCATGAAACGGAAATCCGGCGGCTGAGGATCGCAAAACCAGTGCGGGTTTGTCAAGCATGCTTCAACATCATCAAAACACAGCAGGCTTCTGAGAATATGCCCCCACCTGTAAGACTTTAAGGGAAATACAAGCTGGTGTCATGTGGAGTCTGCTGATAGGAAGGCTTGTGCCAATCAACAAGTGATGACGTTGAAATCTCGGCTGACCCCAGTGCAAACCAAGATTTACTTTATGTCCTTGAGTTCTGTTGATTAAACTCTTCAGAATATGTTGGGCTATCGTTTTTCAGAAATTCCAAAAGTCTCTAATTGTCCTGATGTTTTATTTCTTCATTGACCAGTAAAGTACAGTCTAGCTGGATGTCCTTTCATAATGTCTTGTCAGGCAGGAAAATCTTCCTTTAAGTAGCTGGTATCCTCAAAGGATTAACTTACTGCTTACAATTAAGAATTTTGGGTGTATGTCTGAAAACAGTGACTGATGAAATTACCATCACTAGGTCTTGAATCTTGTTAATGTAAAGTTATCTTATTGCTGTGCATTTAGACCACAAGGCAGTGCCTTGTATATCAAAGAGATGCATTTTGTGGTACTGTTTATTGATGTGTCTCGTACAGCTATCATGCAAGTCTTAATCCACTGATGATAGTAGACCGTTCTACCGAATAGGAATTCTGCTTTTTGGAAGTGCTTACGCAATGTTTGAAAGGAAATAGTGCGTGAAAAAATGCCATAAGCTCACTAACATAATGGTTCTATGTGGAAAAAAGGGGTGTAATATTTAATGTGCTTTTTTAGAACTCTGTAAATGACTTATGAAAAATATGTTGTTTTTTTTTATATGTAGAAAAATTGCAAATGGGATTGATGAAGACAATCAAAAGATTGCCTGCTTCTGAATGTAGAAAGTGCTGTCGGTTGTGTATAAACTATCAGTGGTAGGCTCTCAACTCTTTAAAATGAATCTCTTGCCAACAGTATTGCTTTGACCTCTCCCCAGCTGACTAGGTTTGACTTTTTGTGACGAAGTAATTCATCATGCTTTTCTCTATAATACAGTCCAGTATTTCGTCTACAAAAATCCATCCATTTTCATGTATCATGTGCAACTCTGATTTCATTCATGGGCTACTAGCATTTATCAGTCATGTACGAGAGTGAGAGTTCTCCATTTTTCTTGAACAGCGATTTACGTTTGTTTCTTGTGCATTTTCAGCTTACACTGCTGTACATCTGTGGAAAGACTAATTAATGTCTGAGAAATGTAGTGTAAGGGCTCAAGTGGTTTGTACTTAGGAAATGTCTGCTGCCCTTTACCCATCTGGTTTGGCCTTTTTGAGACATGCAGACCGGAGTGTATTCTCTGAAGTGAGCTTATGTGTTCTAGGGAACTTTGTGGCGTGCACATAACTGTGCACCTGTCATTGAAATAACATGTGGATGAACTTAGATTGTTGTACATCATTAATTGCACTCTGCAGTCAGCTGTCAAGTCGTGCCAAGAAATGGTGTCCTTAAAGCTTTTAGACTTTATAGGAATTTCCTTCAAAGAGGCAAAAAAGCTTGGTCAAAACTCAACCAGAACTGCTTTCAGCACGCTGTACTTAATACATAAAGCCCTGTACTTGCACCACTGGAGTCTACAGCTTTCGCTTGCCACTTTACTCAATAGACTTTAGATTTGCATGTTGATATGGGTAATTATTCCTCAGAATGATGAGACATTTGTGCTGAGCCACCCTTTACTGGCTGAGAATCAAAAGGTTCTATCGACGGCAGTTGTATGTTTCAAATGGATCCTTTTGACTTTATATGTGCAGCTGACATGTGAATGTGAGTTCACATTCCTTCTATGTAAAACAGAAACTCTGCGTAACTTGGAAGGTAGGACTAATTATTTGAACCTGCTGTGTACAACTTTGCATGCCTGAAGTCTGCAAAACTTTTGAACAGAACAATTGGTGCATAAAACTACTGTGGTTTGATTTTCAGTGACTGAAGAGGCTCAGAACTCTTTCACATAGTCACACAGTAGCCCAGCAAAGGGACATGAAGATGGTGTGGATTATGAGTGTAGGATTCCCCTATGTCATTCCACTTGAAGACACTCCATGTATGTTTTACTGTATCTCATTGCTTCATTTTCTTTATTATCTGTATAAAAAGTAAGTCGATGATTTTATCGCCATATTATCTGAATGTGATATTCATATGTGGAAATCTTGAAAGTAAGATATTCTCTTGCATCATCGGTGCAAAAGGCTGGATTTTGATGTCGTTTAAATTCATGTAGCTATATTTTAATGCCTCCAGTTCCGTGTGGGGTTTCTCACTGGAGATATTGTATCTAGTCATTTATGGGATTTACGTGTGTAGCTAGACTCAGCAATCTGATAACAATTCATGTCTTTGTTCATAGGTTGTATGTTGTCTCCTCATTTTCGAATATATGTTCTCTAGAGTAGAGAAGTCTGCACTCATTGAATGCTTTGGGTTTCATCTTTCTTTTACACCAGTCAACTCGGACAGACACAGGTATTTCTGGCGTTTCTGATAAGACAAGAGAATACCTGCAGTTGTGCTTCATCACTAACAGTGTGCTAAAGCCATTCTGCTAATGAATGATTTTGTTCATGTGAAAAGCAATACACATGTTTTTGAGGGACTTACAACAGCTATTTTTCGTAGTATCTGAGTTATGGTAGTTGAAATATTGTATGAGCGATTATCAGTAATAGGATATTAGAATTCATGTTTGATTTGAGATTTAGATTCTTTGAATTTCTTATTATTGAGAGATCTCGGACACTGGTCAGTTCATTGCTATCAGTTCCTTATTTATGAGAGTGTCAAATTCATTAGATCATTTTTGTGAAAAATGTTGTAACATTCATGTTTTTGTGATGCGATTGTCTCCCATCTGTGAACATGTACTGGAAGTTGTCTTGACTTGCGTTTGCTTGAAACAATTTGTAAAGCTTGATACAAAACCATTAACCATTTTTGAACACTGTTTATTTTTATCGGGTTTTTTGCTTATTAAGTTGATTTCTTTTTTTCATTCCTTGCCTGTGATGCCGACAATAATAGGTGTAAAAAGATATGGAACTGATTATAAACAGTTATTGTTATTTATGATTCATCCATCTCTCATTATAATGCTTCGTGGTCATAACTGTTTGTCCGGCATAATTCTGAAAATGAATTTTGATTATTCTTATCTCTTGAAATGATTTTAATTCCAGTGCAATAGCGTTTACTTTTCTGTGGTGCATGTTATGATGAGGTCAGTCTGTTGTCCTCCTCTGATTGCTGACAACATAATCATTATTATAGGCTTTGCACATTTTGCTGATGTAAGCCATATATATATATATATGAGTGGCGCACTATTTACCTACATTCTCATTTCAGTTCAGTCAAATGGTTTATTCTTTCACTGCATGACCATGTTATTTTTCTCAAACAGCTGAAATTTGTGTGACTGCCATATCTTTACATTTATTTCCTTGAGACTGCATGTGTACTGTGCTGTGGATTTGTTTCTGGAAATGAAGGGGTTTTTTTGTTTGTTTTGGGGAAATACAAAGGTTTCTGGGACTTGACCATAGCTCTTTGTGTCCAAGAAAGTTTTCTTTTGCCTTTTCAGTTTATTTCTTTAAGGATCTCATGTTAATATAGCTTCAGGGACACTGCTGCTTTTCCAGTTTTTTCCTACAAAGTCAAACTTTTTAAGATTCCATCTGTTACTTGCCATTAGCAGATGTTCTTTGCTGGGACTCGTTAAGGTAATGAAGAGAATAGTGTTATGTCAGTAATGTTTCTGAAAGGTAGATTTATTTGTGATGAATGAGAATAAATGCTGCCATTTCTGTATAATTATGCAGGCATTTCAACTGTGTAGTCTGTGGAGAAAATATTTCAATGGGTTGTCGCTTTTCCATTTCCTGAAATTCTTTTTTTTTCTATATTCCAGTATGATATCATCCCTGCCATTTGTACGTGTAAAATGATTATTATGAACTAGATCAGTGATGTGTAGAAGTAAGGCCCAGCTGGTGTTTATGGCGCTATCTGTACGATTTGGATTATGCTGTTGTGTCAAACACATTTATCATTTCCCTTTTCTATGTTTAATTATGTCCCATCTGAAATGACCATAAGCCCAAATTCTTTCAGTCCGTCACAGTCACACATCAAACTGCGTTTTTTGTTTTCATTTCTTACGTTTTGAACTTATTTCTTAAAACGTTCCCAATTTTATTTGAGTTTTATTAAATGTAACCAATGTTTTACAAGCAGTTTTGTGTGTGTGTGTGTGTGTGTGTGTGTGTTTATGTGTGTTAAAGAGAAAAAATAAGTGTGGTGAGTTTGAGCTCTTAGGAGTGATTTTGTAAGTGAAGAGATGTGGTTAACTCGCTCAGTCTGGGTCATGGACCATTATGTTACTGCTGATCATGCAGCCCTTGCAGGATGGTCATTGTTCTTTTTTTAAAATCTTTTTTCTTTCTGCCTATTTCTTGCAAAGGCTGCAAGAACCAGCTGTATGCTAGTTTACCCTGTTGCCGGCCTTGGTGACCAGGATAGTTTTTAAGCTATTCTTTGGGCAGTGGGGCCTCACAAGGCAAACAGAGCAATGTGGTGTCAGTGAAGCAATGAAGTCATGAGACATACTTTCCTGTTCCTAAAGCACAAGTCTATTAACATCTGCATCTGCTATAAACTTGTAGCGACTACTTGTAGTTTGCTTCTGAACACATTTTTAAAAAAATTACAGTCACAAAGAAGATGTAAAGGAAATACAATGAATCTGCTTTTTGCATGTCAGCATTCTATAGTGACATCGCATTAGATCTCCATGTGAAATTTCTGTATGTTTAAAAAAGTTTTTAGTTTTGCTGTTTAATAGAAGCTGGTTTTAGCATCCGATTTAACATGCTCTTCTCTGATTTGTGTGAAACTGTCATGTTATGTGATGCTGTAGAAATTTCAGTATGGTATGATTTTTTTTTTTAATGCCCTTGAAATATCTGTATTTTGAGGTTGTGCTTGGGAAAAGGCCCAGTATCGAGTGAGTTGTCAAACGAGTTGCTATTATATGACGTGAGTACAATAATTGTACTTAGGTATATATTACTTGAATGTTTTTCTCGTAAATTAGTATTCTAGTAGACTCAGTGTTGTTGGTGTATTGAGAGTACAGCAGTCTGAATCTCTTTGATACATACTTTTGGGTGATATTGTGTGACTGGAGAAGAGCATGGTAGGTTTATTGTTGTGCTTGGTGTAGACTGTTGCGACCGAACAGAAGTGGGGAAAGAGAGAGAGAAAGGGGGAAGAGGGACATGTTGCTGAATGTTTTTTGGAGTGTACAGTGCTGTAGCCAAGCTCGTAGGCATCTGTTGCAGGGCCCTGTCTTTTTCAAAGCTTTTAGTTTGTGCCATGAGATGGGGGTGAGCTTTTTTGCTTCATGCAATGGTCCAACATGTACATTTTCACTTACCAGAAGCATGCTATCTTTTCTCACAGTTACAGATGTTATACAGAGCTCCTCTCATGGATGATTCCACCACTTCTACTATAAGTTTCTGTTGTCCCATACCCACCTTCCAGCTTTCTGCCTGTTGTAGCACAGAATCAGTCAGTTGATGTCTGGCTTTATCGACTATACTGGCTCGAGAAAATAAGGCTGCAGTAATACAAGTATTTATAGCTCCCTCGAGGTGATTATTGTATCCAATATTTACGCCCTTTACAATGCGGTGTAGATCATTCAGGGGGCTGACTGCTTCAACCGTGCCTGTCAGGACTAACCCTTGAAGTGTGAGATACATCATAACAGAAAGGTTCTCAATAACTATATCTTGACCACATTAGAATTAAACTTGAGTGTTAAGCACACACAATGGAGAATGTAACTACAGAAGCTGTTTCATAGAATGTTCGTCTGCCAGGTTCTTTGTAAAAGACACCCAGAGACAACAGTGCAATTTATTGAGGTTACTCATGTTTTATACTCTGGAGCTGGATCTGAACATCTTTTTGATGGGATAGTTGCATGCTTGGTAATGTGTTGCTCAGACTCAGAGGCATAACAGCAAAATGTAAGAGAATTTAGCGTATGTGTGTGTGTGTATGTGTTTGTGACTTTGTTTGAATGATTATATATTTATGAAAAATGAGTTCACATATGGCTGAGGTCCTTGCACTACGAACCTATATATCAGAGGAACATGATTATGGTCTTTTCAGGTTCAAACGAAATGTTTTCCATAGTTGTACTGCATATGTATAGAAGATACGTCTCTTGTGTGCATGCAAAATGTGTGTCCCATGTATAGATACATTCGTGAGCACCGATTATATATTGTGTCAGGATTTTCTCATCCAGTTCAGTGAGTGACGCGACTCTGTCTCTCTCCCCAAGGATAACGAACCTTTTACTTATCAAAATGTTTCAGGTCCTTGTGGTGAACTTAAATGTTTAGCTGCTTTACCCAATACTTATGCTGTGATATGTTAGCACGGAGGATGTCAGATTTGAATTGCTGTGACTTTTCACTTGTTTAGGTATAGCAATACAGCGCATGAAATCCCCCCTCCGCTCTATCTCTCACTCACTCTTTCTCTCTGTCTCTATGTCTGACTGCCTCTCTGTCTCTCTCTCTCTCTCTCTCTCTCTCTCTGTCTCTCTCTCTGTGTCTCTCTCTGTCTCTCATGCATACACACACACTCACTCTCACTTTCCCTCTCCCTCTCTCTCTACCACACTGACCTTTCACTATTTTTTTTATCCTGCTGTCAGAATGGGTTGGGTCTGATAGTTGAAAACAGGAACTCCAGTTTGGTGTCAATGGTACACAAATAATAGTAGGATATTTTGCACAGTGATATTCAGACTGTTTCTTCATGGGACTTCTTGCTGAACTTGAAGGTCTGTCCGTGAAGCTTCCTCCTTTCAATAACAATTTTAAGTTGAGAGCTAACATCTTGCTCTTGCACCCGACCCCCCCCTTGCATTCACACATACACACACACAGACATCCACATTCATCCTTAACCTGTAGGGGTCAATATGGTTTGGAAGCCACTTGCACAACTGTTCTACAATTACAATTTCTTTACTGTCACTGAGGGTCCATGAACTTCCTTGCCTTTATGTGTGTAGACTCTTGATTTTTGTTTGGATTTTTATTGCTATATTAGGTTGTTTTTGTATTGGGTTTTTTTTTCCTAGTTTGCTTCTTCCCCTTTTATAATCCTTTCGTAATGTCTCTTCTTCTGTATTCAACACAAATGTATAAATTTGTATGCATATTTTTGTGTATTTTAGTTATCGCTTTGCCTCTTACTATATGAGTTTTATCCATACAGTAAATATGTCTGCACAAGCCATACAGTTGCTCCTCCTCCCACTCCCCCTCATCCTCACTCTCCTACTGCTACCCAGCTAATGTGCACAAAGACTTGTACAGAAATTGTCCAATCATTCCATCAACTCCACTTTCAGCACAGAAAGACTTTTGGTTGTTTTATTTCTTCATTTTCCTTTATTCGTTTCTATGGCTTATTTCAGCAAAGATGAGCTTGAATTTAATCAAATGGATGTGCGTCTTTTGAGTGCCAGGGAAACCCGAACCCTGCTTTCGCAGCTCTAATTCCATTGTTTTGTTTTTATCTTTTGTTTTGTGCTATTTTCAGACCATGTGTTGATGAAGCTCAATGTTCTTGGTCCCGGCCAAGGTTTATACTTCCCATGTTCGCATCAAGCAACCATGTTGTTGTTTTATTTGTAGGGAGAGTAATTTTGGACTAATTTATAATCACCTGAACCTAGTTTCGCTATGGTAGGCTTGCAGAAATGCG